GAAGATAAAAATTATTTAATGTGCAAATAAAAGCTCGATCATCGTATTAAGACCATGCTCCCATTGCTTTAGTAAAATATAGACTTATTATAACTAGCACTGCATTGTCACATTAGATAATATATATACGGATATATTTGCATCAATAAATATTAGAAATAATCAGCATAAACATAAAGATAAGTCAGGCCATCCTTTAAATATATTTATAAAAGTATCTTTTAGTATCGGATACATCTTCAAAAGCGGCTTGATGCCTGTAAACTGATAGAAGAGTCGGAGAGTGCTGCCATGAAACCAGTTTTAATACCTTCATTTGTGAAATTTACTAATGGGTTCCTAAAAATTAAATTTTGTCGAATTATATTGTTCAAACGTTTAGTAACTTATAACATGACGTTTATATAAATGCATTGCTCTGCCTACCTTGGGTTTCGACAAGTGTAGGGCCAACTTTCGTGTCAGTTCAAGGTTGGGTATTTCTTCCGAGAGACTACTAATGGAGCCAATTCGAAGGGAATCCAGCTGAGGGGCACTTGTACCTTCATCTTCGGAAACTGATGAGTCTTCGACCAGCTGCTCATCACTTTCTACAAACCTTTTATTTTCTTCCTTAAAGCTATCCTTGGTTATGTGCAAAATTTCAAGGGCCTGTTTTTGCGCATCTTGCAATTTTCCTTGTGTCATTCCTCTTTTTCCAGTGGAACTAAATAATTAAATAATATAAAATTTAAATAGATTTAATGCATCATTGTTAAAGTAATAGTAATTTTTAGAAAAACACGGAAAAGTGAAGTATGGTATAAATTATTCATTCACAAAAACTCTACAGATCAAGAAGTTCGAGAAGTGGATTGAGGTTAATTAGGCTTATACGTTGTGTTTTTAGGAGTTATTTATGCTCATATTATGTCTGTAGCCTAACTTTCTTTGAAAAACGGTTATAAAAAGTCTACTAGGGCTGGCTGCTCTGAACGCCAGGTAACGAATACTCTTGGCTCACCCAATGTTTATATCCAGTCATTGCCATGCATGACGAACTGTCATTCTTTTCAAATAAATTCTTATAACGTCTATCATATATCAGATATAATAACGAAGGAATACGACAACATAAAGAGTATTACTATAACCGTGCCAGCCACGAAATAAAAGCGAAAGCCCAGAGTTGATTCCCTTAAGTCAGGGCTAGGTTTACTAAATACTGCCAAGCAGAATGAATGCATGCACGCTGCTTTTCAAGGACAATGGCTGATCTTTCTACGATGAAACGGGTCTACGAAGCTCTTCTCTTACCCACCTCAAAAGATCTGAGTTCAGTCCAAATCTTTCACGCGCAGATATACGAGTTTTAAATTTTGAAGAATAAAGTATAAATGTTTGTTTAATTCAAATTTTTAAAACATTCTCTGGACTTATCATAATATCGCAAGTAAAAGGAGACTGACTGAAACAGGTCACTGACCAGCCAGCGTCACTTCATTTAATATGATTTATTTAATTGTGTAGTGATATTTTTAAAGATCAATTACGTCACTGGTAAGAACTGGAGGACTTAAAATAATATCAAGCTTGTAGGATGAAATTCGTTACTTGAACCATCTTTTAGTTGTTTCACGTTTCAGCATGAGAAGACTCACATAGCTTCATTAAGCATATTTAGCACTTACATGCTCACACTGAAACAAAAGTGACTAAATTAGTACAAGTATAGGCAAATATTGTAGTTATTCATGTGTTTACCTGCCCAACTTGTTGGCACCCAAGGAACATGCTTATAGTTTTTAGGATAGGAAATGGGAATTTCAAAAATTTATACACACCCGCGCAGACAACAATATGTGCACACATATAATTGAATATAACTAGTCTTGCAATTAAAATTTTCATATCCGTAAATGTAGATGTTGAAAATTAGTGAGAATTTATTCTATGAATTATATTAGCTTCCAAAACATTTGTCACATGGTAAATCAAGGCCCAGCCTTGTTACTCACCGATACTTTCAATGTACCAAATAGCAATCAATACAGATCATGAACCATATCCTTATGATTTTGGATAGGCGACATTTATAACTCAATTCAAACAACTCTCACAAATGTATGGAGTATACCGACAAATAGCCGATTTGGTCTGCCTCATTTTTCGTTTTTTTT